AAGTTGGATACGAAATCATTCATAGATCTAAAGGGAAAGTACTTTCCCGTGTCCTTCTGGAAGCTTCTCAGCAAAAGTGAAGATCACAATCTCTCCACCTCCAGTTGATACTTTCGCTTTCAGCAAGATGTTAGATCCCAGCAGTAATTGTCTAAGGCACACCCTATAGACCAAGCACCAGTCACTAGATGATGCAGCCTGTGACCCAGACCTATGAGATGACTAGTGTTAGCACTGTCTCTAGCATTGCAACACAAAATGTGACACCCTCCCACATAAGTTAGTCATCCACCAGTCTATTGATACGAGCAAAGGCGATGTAGAGTAAGTGAGGAAAGTGCTCTTTAAATTCTATTCCATTCTATGAACATTCTATGAACATCCTTGAATCATGTCAAACGTTACTGAAAGCTATTCATGACGACTGTATAGTAGTTGCATTAATTCTGAACGGTGCCGAGCGACCTCTGCCAGGACCAAATCACTTCTCCAACTCATGAAACAGACAAACCCGCATCATGCGCACCGAGTAAAATTCGTATTCAACGACAATAAGAACAATACGAGTGACACGACTTATCCATGCCCATTTTGTGTAAAATTCGGATGTAAACACTCACATGCATTTCATAGGTCTATACAAGCTATGGCTAGTCATTGCAGTGAGGCATAGCAAAAAACTAGCTTTTTTAGTCGCCTGATAGTATATACTGACTTTACAGTAATGCATGACCTAAATAAGTTCACGTGACAATGGAAGGCAAGTAAAAGGAACCAGTATGGATCCTGACTATATGGGCTTGATGTGGTACATGACTAAGCCTAAGGACGTGCGCATAATAGATCCCGTGAAAGCACAGCGAAAGTCCGCTCGATCATCTTATGACAGGCTCTAACATTCATATAACATTTTTTACTACAGCAAATTCGGCAAACACGATCTTAAACAGATCTACTAAGTCGGTTTAAGGGTTGACCTTATTCATGTGTCGATTCAAGAGAAAAGAATGATTTATCAAGCCTTGAAATGACAATGTTCACTCGATTTCTTGAGACCGTATTTCAAGGCACAAAGAAGCTATAAGTTACTACCCACTTGGCCACAATTCCGAGCTTCTAGCCAACTAAG